AAAAAAAGATTAGATGGCCTGTATTTAAACCCAGAGCTTGGAAATTGCACTGTGACAGCAGCAGAGTGGGCAGGGCAGAAATAAATAAATAGACTATTGTGACTTAAGTTAATCTTTTTTTATTATCTTAGATATTCTGCAGTCCTTTTCTAAAGGCCTCGGAGAGCTCTGTAGGTCTTGGCATCACACTACCCCAGACTCTCAGCAGCTTCACCAGCCTCTTCCTAAGGAGGCCCAAATCACTGGCACCTTATGAGGACCTTTGATTCATATTTCATTTAGCCCAAGTGCATGGGTGTACCAACTTTTTCATCACTAATTTTTCTTTTCTTCTCTTACTGCAAAATGCTATTGCAAAATAAAATTAATATTTTTTTTGAGTTTGAGTCCCATTAAATCTGGCTTGAACTAAACTTTAACAGTAGTAATGTGATGGTCTGAGGCTGCTTTACTGCTTCAGGACCTGAAAGACTTGCCCTAATTGATGGAACCATGTACCAGAACTCATTTCTTGCTAAAGGGGAAAATCATAGCTTCTGAGGAAAAGGCTTGGGTTTTCTTATTACGTCAAATGATAATTTTATAGAGTATTGTTCAAGTAGGCCACCTCCATATACAGACATTAGACCTTTACTTGTCCAAAAAAACAACAACAAACTTAAATAAAAATAAATAAATGCAGGAATAAAATCGTTATTCAGCTTGCCATGTGCTCTATTCTTATGAAGGATGTGGTTCAAAATAGCTGTCACCAAGCACAGCTGTCTTGCTGTGCTTGGAGTTTGACCCAACACTTGCAAACCCAGGCTTGCATACAATAACCTTTAAAGAGGATCTGCAAAGGTGCAAGCTGGGCTAGATGCTATCAACATACTTTCCTGTATGGTTGTTGAAGTGACTAACTCTAAAACCACAGGTGGGCAAAAAGAAGTAATGGTTAGATTTTTTTTAAAGCTTCACCACAAAAAGGTATCAGTCAGCTTAGCCGAAGGTGTATTCGGTAGAAGGTGCTAGGAAAAGTCTGAGTTTCATTTTAATCTGGATGAAAGTAGAAGAGCAAAAAAGAATCGACCTTTAGGTGCATGCCTAAGAATAAAATATGAATAGTTGACTGCAAGAATACATAGCAAACAGGAAGAAATATAATGAATCAAGAGCGATATATACAAAACGAGAAAAATATAAACAAAAATAAGAGAAAGACACACACTAGAGAACAAGTTGCAAAGTGCATAGATCAACATCGTTCACAAATTATGATGCTTACTTCATAAGAAACATCTTCCTCTTGAGTAAAATCGCAGTGTTCTCATGCTCTGGTGTGTGTTTAGTTTCTGCCACTTGCAATGGTGTCTTCCCTATATTATTTTTAGCCTGCAGATGGGCTTTATTCCTCCATCCTACATTTCCAGCTTGTCCCCAGTTTACAAATATTTTCATTACTTTGTGGTGTCCACCACGTGCAGCACAGTGCAGAGGTGTGTCTTTATTGTGATCTGTAGCATTTATCTTGGCCCCAGCTTCCAAGAGCCGCAGAGCTACACTATCATGCCCCTTCTCAGCTGCGGCATGAAGTGGTGTTTTCCTCCATGCATTCCTGTCTGCAGTCCCCTTATTGTTGAGCGACTGAAGAAGGGCTGTAACCACGCTGACGTGCCCACCAGCTGCTGCGTAATGAAGAGGAGTGGAGCCATCCATGTCTCTAGCTCGCCTCTTTGCCCTGTGGGAAAGCAGTGAAATCGCCACGTCTACTTTCCCCTCCATAGCAGCCAGGTGGAGGGGAGTTTTTTTCTCAGTATCAGTGGCATCTGGGTCAGCTTTGGCTGACAGCAGCAAGTCCACCACACAGCTATCTACCTGGGAAAAGGCTGCCCAGTGCAGGGCTGTCCTCCCCAGCCGGTCTTTGATTCCAGGTTCTGCCTTGTTATGAAGAAGTTGGATCACTGTGTCTGTGTGACCCTGCATGCTGGCTATATGCAGAGGGGTCAGACCATCCTGGCCTACTACATTTACCTATAGCAATGACACACAACGTTGCATTAATACACTGAAAATCTACAGAACTGATAGCAACCGTTAATGCTTTGACAATTACCTGTGCTCCACCTTTTAACAGCAGACCAGTTATGTCAGGCCTGTCACATTGAGCTGCCAGGTGGAGAGGGGTATGGCCTTTAGCTCCCTTAATGTTTGGGTCCAGTCCTTTTTCTAGCAGTGTGTGCACTATGGGCTTGCTACCACTGCGAGCGGCCAAGTGCAATGCTGAAGAGAGGTCAGATAAAGTAGCATCCAGTTTTGCATTTTTTGCTACGAGAACACTAGAATAAAAAATGCCAAAATGTAAGATATTACATATTTGGCTTAGCTGCTAAAAAAATACAGAAAAGGGACAGTTAAAATAGATGCATATGCTCTGCACCAAATATGTACAACACAACATAAATGATGGATATATATAAAATTAGAAACAGAAGCAAACATGGAAAATACATATTTGTTATAGAAGGACAATGATGAGCATTTTGCCTTCTCTAAACCCATTTGTGTCATTGCGCCTGTACGTAACATATACATAAATTATATTTGTGAATATAAACATTTATGAGGCAGGGTGGATTTTATAAAGGTAGTTAGACAAAGTTCTTCTTATTCTAGTATGTTCTTTAAGTTAACTACATAATTACGTGATTCCCACAATGATAAGATTGATTTTGTTGAAATGCTCTTGAGTGTGAGTGTGAAGGCCTACGGGGGCTACTTTATTGCCACTGAATTTATTTTGAAAGAGGTCACCTGAAGACTTCTGAGTGTCCCAGCTCAGCTGACAGTAGGAGAGGCGTATATCTGCGACCGTCGCGCATGTTCACATCTGCTCCGCTGTCTATCAGTGCACTCACCGCACCATCAAAGTTCATTCGAACAGCTGAAAAGAGAGCAGAGCCCAGGGCGTCTTTGTTCAGGACTCCTCTGGCATTAGCTGTGGTTTGAACGAAACTGACCGTGAGCTTGGATGTTTTGCAGGTTTATTCTGTATTTGTGTAACATCTAAAAAACAAAGCAATGAATTGAAATAGAACTGGACAATCTCACCAAGCAACAGCCGGAGAACTGATTCTTGATGAAGATTAATGGCTTCATATATGACATCGTAGTCAGCTTTAGCCCCTGCATTGAGAAGGACAGTCATTGTTTTCTCATTGCGCTCCTTGACTGCATAAAACAGAGCTGCTTTGTTATGGCTGTTTAGGGCATCAACAGTGGCCCCGCTCTGCAACAGCAACTCAGCCAACCTCCAATCATCTTCCATGGCAGCCATGTGCAGAAACATATTCTGTCTGTGACTTTCAGACTGCCTGGCTTCCTCCTCCACCAAGAGTTTTACAGATTTCAGATGCCTATTTTCTGCTGCCAGGTGAATGGGAGTTTTGCCTTTCAAATCCAGAGTATGTATAGGGGTCCCAGCCTTCACTAGGGTCTTCATGAGCTCTGTGTGCCCTCTGCTGGCTGCTCTGTGAAGAGCTGTGTGGCCAGCGTCATTCTGGAGGTCCAATCTAGCCCCCTTTTGAATCAAGAGCTCAGTGATGGATAAATGCCCATTTTCTGCAGCTACATGTAATAGAGTTTCTTTGGAAGAATTGACAGTGTTGATATCACTGTCTTTTAACAGCTCCTCAAGTAATAAGAGATCCCCTTTTCTAGCAGCCATGTAAATGAGGCTTTCTGGTTTACTTTGAGCTGGTGTATGCTCTGATGTTGCAAGTACTATGGTACCACTTCCTTTCTTTGTAACACTAGATCCTTTTTTAATCCTTTTAGTATAAGTTCTCTGGGTTCCAATTTGATCTGTTAATTTTCCCCCCCATTCACAATCTCTCTCCAGCAAATACCCAATCAGCTGTCTCCTGTTATCTTGAACTTGCTCGTTCATACTCCTCACATAGGTCTTGATTCGCTGGTATAGTTCAGGTTCTGCCAGCATAAGACACGGATGGAAGAATTTCCGACATGCTCGTTCACCTCTGGCCTCCAGGATGTCCAGGACCCTGGAGTTCTGATCTTTATGGGTCCTGATGGACAAAACAATAGATCTCCTTGCTGTTGTCATAACTCCCTCTGCAACCAAAAGATTCAGGAGATCCTCAGTATGTGAGATACCATAAACCAAATCCCTTCTCTTTGTCCGGATCACATCCACTGCATAAGGGTTCTTAGAATTTGATGCTGCGTGGCTTTCAAAACCTTTGACTTTATTCCACATTTTAAATTTGCCACAAAATAAAAAAATGTTCCTTCAGCCTTCATGCGCCACAGTTGTTAGAATTTGTTGTTCTGATTTCTGTTTGTGTATTTTGTACCATATTGCTTAGTAAAATACCCCGCCCATAGCAACTACAACAGACAGAAGCCTTTCACTGTACAGATTCAGCCGGCTCAACCTGATCTTTGTGCAATTACGTGGTCAAGTTTCCATTAGATGCAGTTAATTGTTTTATCTAGTAATAGCACTTCAATCCTCAATCACTGTGAAATTATTATATTAGTATTGTATTAGTAAGAGGTGACAAGAATAATAGCTGTGTAAAAATAACATTGTTCTGCATGTTTGTGAAAGCGATAAAATAGATAATGGTGTGTGGGGGGAGAAGAAAGATTCTCCCTTATGTCTGAATCACTCTTGGCCTAAATGTCAAAATCGGTTTGATATATAATAATGAAAACTTTTGATTTCCTTTTATAATTTGATGAAGAGATATAGAGCTATTAATAATATTTATGAGTAAAATTAGCAGAAGTTTTATACCCTGAAAGAAACTCCCCCAATACAAGTACAGTTAGACGTTATGCAGCAGAATGTGCTGCATAAAGTCTCATGGAGACAATCTAACAGTATTTATTAGCATGAAGCCGCATGTTTTTGTATAACAATCTATTTTATTTTATAGATTAGATGCGTGAATTAAAGACTCTATAGTGTGACTAAGGGAGTGGCTGAAGCCTGTACTATAATGCAAACATTTGCAAAGTAACTTTAACTTTCAAACACATGTAAACTTCTTTAGTAAAAATATACATATACCCCCTTTGAATGTGGGGAAGTTTAGGTATAAAATAGCCTGGATACCAAGCAACTAGATCGATCAACATATTATTTCTATTCTCCATCCATCCATCCATTCACTTCCGCTTATCCTTTTCAGGGTCGCGGGGGGCGCTGGAGCCTATCCCAGCTGTCATAGGGCGAGAGGCGGGGTACACCCTGGACAGGTCGCCAGTCTGTCGCAGGGCCAACACACAGGGACAGACAACCATTCACACTCACATTCATTCACACATTTACACCTAGTGACAATTTGGATTATCCAATTAACCTATCCCCACAAGCTGCATGTCTTTGGACGGTGGGAGGAAGCCGGAGTACCCGGAGGGAACCCACGCAAACATGGGGAGAACATGCAAACTCCACACAGAAAGACCCCAGCCTGAACTCAGGACCTTCCTGCTGTGCGGGAAGAGTGCTAACCACCGTGCCACCGTGCTTTCTATTCTATTGTTCCTATTATCATTTATGTGAGCTGTTAGTGAACTATTCTACAGAATGCGGATTTTGTTAAAGAACGTTTGTTTTTATTATGATCTCCTGATATTTAACATCTAGACGTCTGCTTTTAGTCGCCCTTGGAGTCCTTTGATGGATTTGCCTGTTTAATTAAGTCCGGTCTATTCTTTAGATTACGTCTCAGGACACACCGTATTATGCAAAGAGGAGATTATGGAGTCAGTCAATTCACTTCCCGTAATAAACGCCTCCTCGGTCCTGACGTGGGTCTTCCGAGCGTTCCCTCTCCTTATATGGCAGGGGAGGGCACTGCTTTCCGGAATGATGTCACAATGCCCCAAGTTTGAGAAATCAGAGCAGATTTGTAGAGAAATCGGGATTCCTAAAGGGATAATTAAAGGGAAAGGGAGAAAAGTGTCTATTTGGATATGTCTCCCACAGAGATTGTCTCTGTTAAGGAAAAATAATACAAACAATTAAAACAAAGACAACACCTGAATTCCCTTATTTGACGTGTTCAAACTACCGCAGGTTATGTTATAAAGATATTTGTTGTTTGTTTGTATATAAAAGAATTAAAAAGCAAACAAAAAATAAAATCGGAAAATATAAAGATTGAAAAGAAAGAGAACATTTAATATTCTGTCAGCCTTAGCATCACAGTGTGTCAGAGACTTCGTTAGGTTTTCAGTCAACAACCCGTTCTGTTTTATTTGCACTCTAAATGACAGTCTCTATTAATTTCCACACAAATTAATATCTGATAACCCGATACAAATTGCAACAGATCTGTGGAGATTTCGAGCGCTTCAGGCAATTTCTCCTGTAATCCACCCCAATGTATGTCGCCCTCCAGTGTTTCATTTAGAGCAGCACACGTGCTGATGTCCAGCAGTATTTGAAAGCCCACTCCTTTTATCTGCTGTAGGCCACACCTGAGCTGCACCTGCTGCGTAAGCATGAACGAGGCTCACTTTAATTGCTGGGTTTAGTGAGGATATCAAGAAAAAAAATTACTGTTTTTTT